ATTCATCTTCTCCCTTAGAACTTAGAGGAGGAGAGTCTGGCCCTCCCCATCCCTTGAATCCTCAGATTCCCCTTTCTGGATCTTAGTTTTGTTATGGAAGTGCATAGTACCGTTTAAGAGGGAACCTCTCCCTTCAGCACATCAGCACTGTTTATCAGATTAGCTAGTTGGAGTTGCAGTATGAGAGAGTTGGGCTAGAGCTCCTCCAGATTGAAATCTCTGATGCTTGCTGTCTGACCCCAGGCACAACTAGGAATCAGATAGTCTGGTTTTGAGCACTTGTGTTTGTGTCTTGAAATGTCTCATATTTCCTGGGACTTCTGCTGCCCTGTCCTTGGATGGCTAGTGCTGACTGTCCTTTCACATCCACTGTTCTGTTTTATTCCCCTGTGTTCTCATTCCTTCTCTCCCCGCACCTTCTCATTTTCTCTTGGACTTTACCTCAGCACCTCTCATTAATTCCCTTATCCTTGACTGCCGTAACTCCCAAATCTACATATCTTGCCCTCTTCTTTTTTCAAAACTTTTTGATTCAATAAATTTGTTTATGCATATATTTGTAACCTGTCCCTCCCACTATCTCCCCACTTGAACCACAAAACAAATTTCCACATTGATGATGCCTAGAAGTGTTTGTCTCTGCTTTTTAAGTTCATCATCTTTCTGTCAGGAGGTCACTTTGCTTTCTTCTTTTATTCTGAACTAAAATCCCAGATCACCAAATGCCTGCTGGACATCTCCACCTAGATGCCCTATAGACATCTCAAAGTGAACATAACCAAAACAGAATTTATTTTCACAAGCCACTTCTCTAATAGCTGTCATTGCGGTTGTTATTCAGTCATGTCTGACTCTTTGTGACCCGATTTGGGGATTTTTTTTTGCTAAGATATTGGAGTAGTTTGGCATTTCTTTCTCCAGCTCATTTTACAGATGAAGAAACTGAGGCAAACAGGGTTAAGTGACTTGCCCAGAGTCATACAGCTAGTGTCTGAGACTGGATTTGAACTTGGGTTTTTCTGACTCCAGGCCTGGTGCTCTATCCACTGTGCCACTTAGCTGCCCAATGTTTGTCATAAACTCTAATAAACCTCTTCTTAACATTTCAATTTCTGTTGAAGACATCACTCTTCTTCAGATCGTTCGGGTACACAGTCTCAGAGTGGTCCTCAAGCTTTCATTGCTCCTCCCTGTCCATATCCAGTCAATTGATAAGTCTTGTCATTTCTCTCTCCATAATATTTTTCACATCCTTGTCCTTCTTTTCACTCACATGGTCACCATCTGAGTACAGGCCCTCATCAACTTTCTCCTGGTCTGTTGCAGCAGCATTCTAGTGGTGTTTCCTTGCCTCTAGTCTGTGCCCTCTTCAATACAGCCTCCACACATCCCTCTGCTCAAGAAATGTCAGTGACTCTCAACTGCCTCAATGATGGAATACATAATGAGCATTTTTCTTTTGTTATTGTTTTTTGCTTTTCTTCTTCCAGATTGTCCTTCGCTTCCATGTATTTACTTACCAGTCTGTTGTTCTCTCTTTTGTTTCTTTGGTGAGACTTGTCATTGCATATTCTGGTTTTTCTATTCTATTTATTATTTTTGCTGTTCAGGCCACAAATTCCACTCTCATGATTCTCATTTTTCTTGTGAACCACTCAGGAATAGTGTATTGTCATTCCATGTTCTCAAATTCCACAAGATCCTCTGTCTTATCAAGTGCTGGATCATTTTCCTTTGTTTTGCAGTATTTATTAATAGATGCCCGAACTCATTTACTAGATCTGGAGGCCATATTTCCTTTCATTGTTAATATTTTTCCTGTTGATGTTCATGGTTTTAAAGTTTTTTCTTCTTGAAATCTTTGGTAATTTCTGATTTTTTTTCCTTGTATTTTTCCTATTACTCACTTTCTGACTCCCTCCATCTGAGTGTGGTTTTCTTGGAGGCTGAAATGCTTAAAGCTTAAATGCTTAAAGCATTTCAGCCTTCTCCCGCATTGAGAAATGTGTGGTTCTTCACCCTAGATCTCTATCCCAGTTGACTTTTAGGTGGTCAGAACTGACTCCATCTGGATGCTGTGCTTTGACCCCTCAGGTTTGATGGAGTGCTGCATAGCCCCTACACACACAGTATCTTGTCTAGGTGTCCTATCCCACTTTCTCTATTACTTAGTTCTTTGGCTGGGTACAAGCATTTTGGAGCCTTTCAGTGCTGGTGTTACAGGGTTGTGGCTCTTGGCGGGTGTTTGTTCCTGAAGGGCTGTGGTTACGTGTTTTGTCATGGCCAGGGCCAATTTCCTCAGCCTAGAGTGCTGGAAAGAGGGAGGTGAGATTGGTATGTGGTGGTGGGATCAATTGTAAGCCTTTGTTGTGTACTTGGGTCTGCTAGTGTGGCCTTACTGCCAGTAGAATGGGAGATGGATTTGGGGTACTGAGTGAGCTCAGGGTCAGTGAGCATCAATTCACTTAGTTGTGGGTTTTTGAACCTTCTTTTGGACTCTGGATATCCTAGACCATGGGAACAGTCGACATTGCTTTATCTTTAGTGCATAATTTCTCTTTTGGGGAGGTTTGAGAGGTCATAAGGATTGGAGGAAATGCCTAGTCCATCATCTTGTTGCTTATGTAACCCAGAAACTCTCTCGCTAGGCTAGAGTACACACTACTTGGTTTGGCATTTAAAGCTCTTGACAAATGGGCTCCAATCTGTCCTATCACTCCTCACGTATTAAGTATCAGCCATTTGGTCTACTTGGTTGTCCCTATACACAATATCCTATCTACTAGGGTGTATGGAGTATTCAGGGAAGACTAGCACCTCTGCAGTGAGGGCTTGCAGAATCCTTTTCAGGGCTGCTTATGCACCTTTGGTGTCTACCTGCCACTCAACTTGCACCTGTGGCTTCAAGAAACTGCAGCATAGGCAGTGGCCACATCCTGGTAAAACCGTCTTAGTAGATAGGCTAAACCAGGTTGAAGGTAACCAGTGGGCCTCAACACATTGGTGAATTAGAGGGATGTCTCTCCCAGCCATGTGAAGACTTTCTTCTAGCAGAATGGGCAGATGAGAACAGTTTGTTCTAACGGCCATGAAGGCAGCTGAAGCAGGCTCTGTGAAGAGGTTAAAGCTTGATCAGACATCGAGAATGTCAAGGTTCAGCGCATCCTGGGTCATCACTAATCATCCTGACTTTTGTCTTGCCACTAGACGTCTATGACTCTGGGAGAGAGTGAGGCAGAATTCTGCCAGTTCGCACTTAATAAATGCTTATGGTATTGAACCGAACTAGTGCCTCCTTTTTACTGAAGAAACTCCCTGCCTTGTTCCACAAGAGCCTTGCCTCTCTAGCTTGGAGATATCTTACTCCCTGTACCATATCCCCTACTCTACCTCCTCCCCCTCCAGATAAATTTACTTGTTCTATATTTTACCCACTCAGACATGAGAAAGCCCTCTAAGCCTTCTAAGATGTCAGCTATCTGATCTGGTAAATAATATGTGCTGGTAAGCTAAACAGAAGATGCGTGTTCTTTCCTGGTGATGTGTACTTCCACAAAAACCTTCTGTATGCACCGTTCTTATCATTTAAACCATTACTGACTCAAAGGTGGATCTGGTAGCGAGGGACAGCAGCTCCAAACCAGTCCAGGGGCAGAAAGAGGGAGATATATTTGAGAGCACGAAGGGACCTTGTAGTATTCCCTCAAATCAGGCCATGTTGTGTGGGGCGCCATGTCTATAGCCATGAGGAGAGTCACTCAAACAGAAAGTATCTTCCACCTTTTCAGGAAAATGAGATGAATTCAGATAGCTAGCTGAGAACTGACAGCAGCTGATGGTGGCAGCCAGTTTCCTGAGAGCTTAAAGGAGTTTTCAGGGTAGAGTGGTATAAAAAATTGAGGATGGGAGCAGCTAGGTGGTGCAGCGAATAGAGCAGCAGTCCTGGAATTAGGAGGTCCTGAGTTCAAATCCAGCCTCAGACACTTGATATTTACTAGCTATGTGACCTTGGGCAAGTCATTTAACCCCAATTGCCTAACAAAAAAAAAAAGGATTTAAAAAAGTTGATGATGAAAATGCTTAGTAATCCTATACAATATAGATGAGATATAAATAGGAGAGATGGAGGGGGGAAGGGTAGTTTTAATCCAGGAAGCAAAAGATGACCTTGAGAAGCCAGTAATTATACCAAGTCAGGAATGGGATGATCTCCAGACTGTTAGCAATAAACCTTCCCAGAGCTGGAATAGTCTGAGAAGCCTTCAGTGGGCCTGCCTCCCATCCTTGGTGACTAACTGCCTGATAAGAAATTGTGAGGTTCTCTCTAATTATAATTATCATCATGAATGTCTCTCTTAATTACTTTCTTATAATTAGTGGGTGCCTTTTCCTCACCATTTGTGTGCCTTGTGGAGTCACTGACATTTGAGAGCCCCAAAATAGGGATGTTTAGGAAAGAGAAATGGGGTGGGGGAGGGAATGAAATCTGTTCATTTGAGGCAGTGTGAACTGAGAAGCTTTACCAAATGACCAAGAGAAGGATAAAATGGAAGGTGACAGGTTATTTCCTTGGCTGATAGGGTTATAGGACAGTAGGCAAGGACACAGAAGTGAGTGGTAGGGGAGGAAGTAGAGAGTCACCAAGTATTAAATAATTTGAAATATTTATGTACCATACAGATCTGTGTGTATATACGATATGCACATATATATGTATGGACACATATGGATGGATAGATGTATTCACATGTGTACGTATGTATAGTCTTGCAAAGCCACTTCTTGGCTCAGATTTGAAATTTATTCTTGCAGGTTTCATTCTAGTGCATTAATTATAATTCAGGTCAGATATCGTGCCCTCCTCAGCCTCCTCAGGCTGTCCCCCTCCTCTCCAGCCTTCGGAGTTTATGAGCACCAAGATCGCCACAGAGCAACTTAATGTTCCTTGACCAGCAGCAAGTTGGTTTTCATCATTTATTGTGCCTCTTTCTTTCTCACAGCCTTGTGCACAGAAGAGTGTGTCCATGGCCGCTGTGTCTCCCCTGACACCTGTCACTGTGAGCCTGGCTGGGGAGGTACTGACTGCTCCAGTGGTGAGTAGATCCATAGCCCTGTGGGTGCATGGGGACTGCCTGTAGAGGGCTCTGCCGGTGGGAGGAGGGTGGTAAAGTTTGCTCAGTGAATCCCTGAAATGTTGAGTCAGTAGGATGGAGTCATGACAGCTGGAAGGGACCTCAGGGGTTGTCCCATGAAGGAGAAGGTAGAAGCTAGGGAAGGTGTTCTTGTATTTTGGAACATTACCGAGCATGTTATCTGCAGGTTTGTGGTGGTTGAGTATTTAGGGGAAGTACAAAAGTGAGTATGCACCATAAGGGATTGTGAGTATTCTGGGTATTTATGGAAGGATGGGTACTTGTGGGAGGGAATGCCAAGGATTCAGATTTGCCTGCTCTCAGGGAGCTTCTCTAAGCATAGTTATAAAGAGTTTTGTTTTTGGTGTTTTCCCTCCTGGACCTTGGTTCATCTTTGAGTATCTGTATTTCTCTGCTGTTCTGCTATGAGTATCTCCTTGTCCATGTGACTGTGAAGATAGATGCTTGGTGCTCGTGGGCAGAACTCTTGGTGGGGCTGGAAGCTTCTTTCTAAAGCCTTTCTAGTTCTATGCTGTGTAGAAATACCACTGATTATAGAGAGGGTTTGGGGTATCTGAGTCGGGTAAGAATTTTAGAATGGGAAATTCAGGCTCTGCTGAATCAGGGAAATGGGGGAGAGGCTGGGCAGGTTCTCTGGTACATTGGCAGCTTTACTGCTTACGCTGTCATCTGTTTATTCTAGGGCTGTCTCTCAGACCATGGCTTTTGATATGTATCTCCTCACTTTGAGCCTTTCCCCCTCTCCAGTCTGTTCTCCACACAGTTGCTAAATTGATATTCCTAAAAGACATATTGATATTCCTAAAGCATAGGTCTGTCTATGTCACTCTTCTGTTCAAAAAGCTCCAATATTACCTCTGAGATATGTTACAATTTCCTCATTTGGCATTTAAGACCCTTCGAAAGCTGGCTCCAGCCTGCCTTGCCAGACTTATTACATGTTACTCCCCAGCATTAATAGACCATTTACTGTCTCTGTGCATTTGCATGACTTGTTCCCTCCACCTGGAATGCCCTCCCTCCTCCCCTTCACCTCTTAGAATCCCTAACTTCTCTCCAAGCTCAGCTCAAGAACAGTCTCCTACGTTAGTGGCTAGTGGCTGGTTCCCCCTGTCCCTAACCCCACTCCCCAATTACTTCATATTTATATTTCATATATTTTGGTTTTTACTTATATGTACATGTTGTTTCCCGTAAGGGAGTGTAATTTCCTTGAAGACAAAGACTCTGGTTGTTACTTTTATTTTCCAAGTGCAAAGTACATGTTGTTGAATCGTTTCTGTCTGTCTGACTCTTTGTGACTGGGGTTTTCTGGACCAAGATACTAGAGTGCTTTACCATTTCCTTCTCCAGATCATTTTATAGATGAAGAAACTAAGGCAAACAAGGTTATGTGACTTGCTCAGGGTCACATAACTATAAATATCTGAGGCCACATTTGAATTCATAAAATTGAGCCTTCCTTCCTGACTCTTGGCCCAGCATTCTATCCACTGCACCACCTAGCTGTCCCCTCTGGCGTGTGGTTGATGCTTAATGTATATTTACTGATTGTCACTATAGCCTATTTTTCTTAAAGCATGGTCTGATTTCTGTGCTGGAAGGGAATGAGCTGGTGCTAATTCTCAGGATGGGAATAGGCACATAAGTAAACCTTAAAAGCTTGGATATATTTGGGGATGTTTTTAGACCTTGGATTTCTAACCTGGGGGTCTGTAATCTTAAATACACACACACACACACACACACACACACACACACATGTGTATGTGCATATTATGGGGCAGCTAGGTGGCACAATGAATAGAGGACCAGCCCTGGAGTCAGGAGGACTTGAGTTCAAATCTGGCCTCAGACACTTGACATTTAACTAGCTGTGTGACCCTGGGCAAGTCACTTAACCCCAACTGCCTCACTGGGAATATATATATCTATATATATCTATATCTATATCTATATCTATATATATAGATATAGATATAGATATATATAGATAGATATATATCTATATATCTATCTATATATATATATCTATCTATATATATATATCTATATATATATATATATATCATTGTAATTAATTTTTTTGTATTTTATTTTATGCATTTAGAAATGTGATTCTGAGCAATCCATAGGCTTTATCAAGCTGCCAAAGGGGCCCATGGCACAGAAAAGGTTAAGAACCCCATGTTTTAGATTGAGCTTATGATTTCATTGGCATAGGGAACCCCAGTGATGAAAGTTCTCTACCAAAGCAAACGGATAAACTCTGAAACTCAGTCTTAGAGAGTTGTCTGGGGACACTTAGAGGTTGAGACTTGCCCAGGGCCACACAGTCAGTATATATTAGTCAGCAAACATTTATAAAGTGCCTACTATGTGCTAAGCATTGTGCTAAGTGCTAGGGAAGAGTAGAACCTGAGTTGAAGTCTTGTTTAATGAATAGGCCTCTCTTGGAGATTTTGCTGGAACCATTATGGGGGTTAGTAGCGTTAGCCCTTTTGGTCGTAAACTTCTAGCCCATCTACTGATGAAGAACAGAGGACAAAAATGTCAGTTTACGCTGAATAAAGAAGACAGAGGGACTGTTATTAAATTGTACTAATCTCACAAGTGGAGGTAAAAGAAAAAAAAGTTTTTCTCTCTATTGGAGATCTAGCTTTTTAAAATAATTAGAGATATTAAAGCATTGACAATGATTGAGATAGAAGCATTATTCATAACTTTTATTTCCGCACTGGGCAGTGATCCAGTATATTTCATTTATGAGCTTTCAGCTGTAAGGAGAACGTGAGCCAATTCCTAAATTAAATATGCCCTGTTAACTTTTATAAATGATACCCCAGGATTAGCTTAGAAGCTTAAGCTTTCGTTGTATTAAGATAATTGTCGCATTCCTTGTGTCCCGGATCTATCTGACTCCCATCCCAGAGTGCTTTGCAGGCTGTGCCCTGTGTCCTTGGGGCCCAGAAACATGTGCCTGCAGCAGAGTGACATCTGAAGTACTGGGATGAAGACGAGGGAGTCGTCCTTGCCCTGATTTTCCATCTGCTGTCTACTTCCCATGTTCTTTATCTCTAGGGAACTAATAATAATGATAATAACACTATAATAGCCTGCATTTATAAAGCACTTTAAGATTTGCAAAGCACTGTATAAATATTATCTCATTTGGTGCTCACAGCAATCCTTGGAGGTAGGTACTATTATTGTCATCATTTTTTCTATGGGAAGCCAAGGCAGACGGATGTTAAGTGACTTGCCCAGGGTCAAACAGCAGTTACATGTCTGAGGCAGGATTGGAACTCAGGTCTTTCTGACTCCAAGTCCAGTGCTCTCTATACTATGTCACCTAGTTGTGTTGTCCACTGTTTGGAGTAAAGGATCTGACAGTAAAAGGTTGGCCTGGTGTGTCCTGCCTAGGATCCCATAATTTCAGAGTTCATCCATACCTACCTCTGAATCTCATCTACACTGTCTCTAACGAATATTTATCAAGTCTCAATTTAGAGCTGGCCTGAGGCCCGGGAGGCTGGGACTTGCCTCGAGTGACACATGTAGGAAGCATCTGAACTTCCGTCCTCTGATTCTCGAGCTAGGGCTCTTTCCATTGTCCCAAGCTGTCTCCTTTATGTCAATGTGTGTGTCCTTACCTGGAGCCCAGATCTGCCTCTGTTCGACTTCTCCCCGTTACACCTCCTTCTGACTTCCGTTGCTGAGGAGACAGAACAGATACAATTCTCCTGTTTGGTAGCCTGCTCACTCTTTGCAAATCTGCTTTAAAGGCTCCAGGACTAGGACTTTGCCCCTCATTTGAAGTTACAAAGGGGATCCTGTTTTCTTCCCATGGTCTCTGTTTGTCGAAGTGTCTGTCATTGTTCCTATGACCTCCTTGCCTCTTGGCCTGTCTTACTAGGGTTCAGTACAGAAAGAACTGTCTCTTCCTGTGTGATCTCTGCTTCTTCCCACTCTGCTTGGTGCTGCTCAGACTCAGCTGACTGTTGGAAGGAGGGAGGGAAGAAGAGAAGGAAAAAAGGAAAGAAGGAAAGAGGGGAAGGAGGAAAGGAGGAAAGGAAAGAAGGAAAGAGGGATAGGAGGGAAGAAAAGAAGGAAAGAGAGGGGGGAGGAGAGAAAAGGAAGGAAAAAGGGAGAGGAGGAAAGAGGGAGGGAATGAAAGAAGGAATAATGGAAGGAAGGAAAAAGGAAAGATTTAATAAGTATCTTCTACATGCCAGGAACTGTGCTAAGCACTTTATAACATTATCTTATTTGATCCTCACAGTAACCCAGAGAAATAGGAGTTATTATGATCCCTATTTTACAGTTGGGGAAGCTGAGGCAGATGGAGGTCAAATGACTTGCACAGGGTCACTCAGCTAGTGTCTGATGCAGGATTTGAACACAGGTGTTCTGGACTCCAGGTCCAGTGCTCCATCCACTAAGGCCACTTAGCTGCCCCGAGCATCCTGTTATTCTTTAGTCCTTCCCACCTCCCTGATTCCCTCTAGGTCTAATCTTCAAGGAGTCCAGTCTTCAATTCCTGGTGACCTTGTATTTCTGTTTAATTCAGGGATGTGTAGTTGATAGAGTAGGCTTCAAAATTGATGTGTGGCATCTATTGCGTTAGACACTAAATGAATTGGCTGTGTTGCTTTATAGACTTTTGTGCTAATTACTTAATTGGTGCCAACTCTTCTGGCCTCCTTAAATGCTCAGGGGCACATTCATATACTTATAAACTCATAGCATGTTACAGCCGAAAGGAACCTTAGACACCATCCAGTCTAAGTGCCTCACACACATGCCAAACACTGGCTGGGCATGTTCCCAGGAGGGCAGGCCATTGGACTGAGTGTACAGGACTTAAGTCACTGCTGCTTCCCTGGGAAAGTGATAACAGGGTAGGATCTCCTTCCTAGATGCATTCTGGGCCCTGGTCC